GTTGGAAGGTGAATGGTATCAGTTTCAGTCCCCTGTGGAACTCATGAAGAAACAGGGGGCTGACAAAACTGATAAACCAAGGGGGAAAGAAGCATTTCAAAGAGAGGAATGGCTTGGTCATTTCATGAGATTCAGAAATGATGCCATGATTATACTGAGCATTATATGTCTCCAGCTGCCTTTTGAATTGGCTTTCGCTCATGTCTATGAGGTTTTGAGGTCTGACATATCAAAGTAAGCAACTATATATTCTTCTTAATCCATGGCATTAGAGTAGTCCAGAACTACATGTTTTATCTATATGTGCCAACTTATGTCATTTTTTATACAAATAAAATAAGAAAAGAAAAATATACTTGCTTATGTCTGAAATCCCAGTGTCTGAGATATCTTCAAGTTGATTGGTTAAGATTCCACGTCAAGATCCTCTCTTTGGTGTTCATCTTAATGTAAATAAGCCAGGATGTCTTACTTTTAAGTAAACCAGTTCAATAGAGCAGGATGAGTTACCTAATTCTTGATACTATTAAAGAAATACCAATATTGATAAAATTTCTTTTTCATTGTTACTCCTTACTTCATCTATTTAAAAAAAGGTAGCCTGGTGCACCAAGCTCCCGCTATGCAGGGGCCCGGAAAAGGGTCGGACCACAAGGGTCTATTATACGCAGTCTTACCCTGCATTTTCTTGTTGTTTCCGCGGCTCGAACCCGTGATCTCCTGGTCACATGGCAGCAACTTTACCAGCTACGCCAAGGCTCCTCTTCCACGGCTCATCTATTTGATGTCCTATTTTAGTTCATGTTCTGTTAGGGCCTAGAACTGTACCAGCTTTGGAATGACTAAGAAGTACTTTTTCTTTGATATTGAAATTCTTCTGACCTCCCAGCATGCAGTTTTATTTCATAAAACAACTGCCAATATTTTATTTAACTTTTCTATGTTCACTCTTGGGGGTTACATATCCTGGTATTCAGATTGCAATCACAAAATGTTGGTCTTAACACCACAGAAAGTAGTAAGTAGTTTTCCTCCAAATATCCAATTTTCTTACCTATACCTTGCAAATCTTTGCTGACTTCGCAGTTTTCAAATTAACATAGCTTTATCTGCTCGTAATTCACTTTAGCCTGCCACATACAAAAATAATATACTTTCTGCTTCTTTCAGGTTTTGTCTGACAGCTGTATACCTCTTTACCATTCAGTACTTTAATAAAATTGGTGGAAAGATATCAGTGAAGCTTGTAAAATATGAGAACAACAAAAACATAGAACGGAGAGCTGACAGCTGGGTTTACAAGGTGGTTATCAGAAACTTAGTATTTTTCCTAAATTTCCCGGCTGTTTGTCCTTAATTGGGAATTTAGTGTCTTCTGCAGGTCTTTGGTCTTTACTTCATGCAATCCTACATTGGAATCTTCTATCATGCTTTATTGCACCGCAATATTATGACACTTCGCCAAGTTCTCATTCAACGTCTAATTATATCAGAGGTAGATGGGATCGTTTCTGATTCCTTTCACACATACCATCTGAATCTTTATTAATATATGTTGTTACTGTTTCCCCAGGTGCTGGAGAATATGTTGGAGAACTCTCTACCTTATTTAAAATACAGCTTCAAGAAATATAGAGCTGTGGGGTAAGACTCTTCATTCCAGATGGATATTGTTGGAGAGCTAATTTTCCCTGGCATAATCATTTGCTTGCTACTTTATGGTCCATCTGATATGTCCCTTTATGTGAAGAAACAAGAGAAAACGTGAGAATGGAAGGCCTTCGGAAAAGACCCAATACATGTCTAGAGTAGAAAAGGAGTACCTTAAACCTGATTATTCTGCTAGTATTGGAGAGGAGCTTGAAGACGGACTTTTCGATGGTAATTCATGCCTCCTATTCTTATTAAAGATCGTAAATGAGTTTGAATCTTATTAAACACCTTAATAACATGTCGATGTTTGAATTACTGCAACTGCAACTGTTTTTAAATACCCATAGCTAATTGAAACTCTTAATCATTGCAGATTTTCTGGAATTGGCATTGCAATTTGGAATGATCATGATGTTTGCTTGTGTATTTCCACTTGGTTTTGCCTTTGCTACTTTGGTACATAATGCATATGGCCTACCTTTTTTGATATAGTTCACTTTTTTTTTTAACGAGTAAAAAGAAGCCTTATTGAATTTTGCTTTTGCAGAACAACATCACAGAGATACGAACAGATGCACTTAAATTGCTTGCCATGTTAAGAAGGCCCATTCCACGTCCTGATGCGACAATCGGAGCTTGGCTAAACATATTTCAGGTACAACCCGACTATTCAATCTGCACCGTCCTTCCTAACTACTTGTTCTTACAATGGCTTAATGTCTTGGAATTCAGTTTCTGATTGTCATGTCAATATGTACAAACTGCATTCTCCTCGTATGCCTTTATGATCGTGACGGGCAATGGAAAATATCACCTGGACTTGCTGCTATTCTCATTATGGAGCATGTGCTTTTGCTTATAAAATTTGTATTCTCACGCATTGTTCCAGAGGTATGATTTCTAGTAGCTAGACGAATCTCAGAAATTACATGTACCTTTGTGACTAAAGAGCATTGCTCATTTCTTGCATCTTGAATAGGAGCCCGCGTGGATAAGAGCTAATCGGATGAAGAATGCAACTCATGTACATGATATGTGCTCCAGGCAGCTTTTAAGGAGCATTTCTGGTGAAAAAATTAATGCCGAACTAAAAAAAGATGAATAGTGAATATGTTGTTGGACTTACGAGTGTCATGTTCCTATCCACAGTGCGGTATCACCTTCCCCTTCTCTCGAAAGCCAAATTTGAAGGTAGATATGGGAGCATATTTGACGATTTTGAGCTGTGTGTAATTGTGCAACGGTTAAATTTCTTGTTAGTGGACTGTAGGTGCCAGTGTAAAGTGCGGTTATCTTCTTTGGATGTAAAGGAGTTTTGTATTTGGTTGAGCAGCTAGACTAGATACCATCTCATATCATGTATTAAAATTCATCATCATCTCAACGTGAACCCCAGAAATATTAAAGAGAGAGAGAGAAAGAGAGGTGAAGGCATATTTCCATCAGGGATTCAGTATTGAATATGAGCAGTTGGCAGAAAATAAATAAGCAGAGTGTATTTCGCTTATAATCGTTGACATAATCTTTGCCCTCAAACTATAAAGGACAAGCAACAGAAGAAACAAAAACGAAAACCGCTTCCGTAATGTGTGCGAGGGGAATATAATGAGTATGACATTTCATCTGATCCAGTTTCGCACGAAAAGCCATTTGACTCCCAAAAAGTAAAAACGCAAATTTGCATGAAGTTATTACAGAATAGAGTCCATTGTTTGTACCGAGCAAATTATATACAGAGAAATGGACGATCAAAAGAGAAACGTTATATACACACCACAGCCTCTTGGATCAACTTGTTAATGTCTAACTGTTGTATAAACTACTACGAGCTAGAGCTCCCAAAACGGTCACTGACTTGGCGGGCGTAAGTGACTACGCTTTTAGCCCATTTCTTGATTTCTTCCTTGAACTTCTTTGAATCGAGATGTTTCAACGACTTCATTCCAGGATCAATTGAGATTTCCATGAAAGAGAAGCAGCGGTTAAAGCGTCCGCGCTTTGCTGCAGCTTCATCGCTCTTCGTAATTTGCTTCCCTTTGCTGCATGAAGCAGCTGGTCTTTTGGGAATTGAATTCTTTTCCATCAACTGATCCCTTGAATGAGATCGTTTATAATTGAGAATAATGTTATTGTTAGCCACTTTTATACCAAAGAAAATGCAATAACAGACGTTTCCAAGCGTATGTAGCAAGGAATAAGCAACAATATACTTTTCAAAATATTCTGCAGGTGACTTTTGCTACTAGTCAAATGCCCAGGTTGGTAAAAGCGTGTTAAATTGGTGCTCGTTATTCTCAGACGGAAGGTAGAGGTACTCATGTTTTGATGTGGTCATTAGTTTCCTGTTTTTTTATTTGAGAACGCTTCAACAGCAAAAACTTGCTTCTCGTATTTCTTATGGTCTTTAATGAGGAAACTTTGTTACCAACCTTGAAGTGACGGAACTAATATACTAATATTAGGTTCTCTGCACGTTTGGGCTTGTTTGGATTTCTTCCAGTGGCCAACTGTCAAATCAAAAACAAAGCTACTACTCAATGAATTCCATTGTCCTAATCTTAAAGTTTCCTTATCAGAAAGGATATGTTGGAGCCCAAAAGATCAGCAGTTTTCTCTTTGAATTATATACCATCATTTCTTCTTCTTCTTTATTTAAATAACAGTGGTATCCAAACACTTAGGGCGTACCTCGGCTATTTCATCCAAGTTAGATGGATAAAATAAAGTTACTGCCTAGTAGTTTCTCCTTCCGACAGTATTAGTAGGGAGAACCTACAGTGTAAAGCAGTTTCTCCTAGAATACCCTGTGCTAAGGTTGCACTACTTTAGATAAGTAGTCCAAATTATAACTTTGAATTCTAAAGTTTAGATTAGGTGATCTGTCAAACATCGAATAATTCTGATTTTAGAAGTAACCAACTTCTAAATACAAAACTGACAAAAGGGGCTGTTTGAGCAAATCAGCCATAAACATGCCAATCTCTCCATAACATAATCCAAAAGTTACAAACCATAAAAAACCGAATAAGATCTATAGGGAAAAAAATTCAGTCCTCGCCGCAACCTTTTAGATTTACTGCAAAATGACGATATCATTTGCTTAGCCTGCCCCATCCTTTTAATTTAAACAATGTAAACCCTCCTCAGCCTGGGAGATTACTGGCATCAAACATTAACCCTACATTCATTTCATCTCAAGACTTGATTCTGATAGTTTATCAATGGACTCATTTTATCAAAGGGCAACGAAAGTTGGACTCTTTCAACCCAAGCAAGCTCACTGAATAATTCATATTCACAATTAGGGCCTTTATTCACATAATGCTAAAACATATAGGTTTAAAACCTGCAATTTAGTTATTTTTATTTAAGCACATGTAAAAAATTATAAAAGATGCAACAAATAAATATAACTACGCAAAAGGAAGTGACGTGCATTTATAATGCCCCAAGTCCAAGACACCATACATTAACGTAAATGATCTTTTTAAACTGATAAACGATGCCAATATTTGCTCAAGAGTCAAAACTAGAGAAACAATGTTACTTGCGCCAATAGCTACCTCGGAAAGAAATATAAGATAAAATTCAAACACAAAACTTTGGTACTTAAAAGACCATGCGTTGCAAGTCACTCGCCATAGCATTTCCTAGCATGAAGTCTTACGCCTGCCTGTTCTTCTTCTTCACACCTGACTTGGCAACCTTGAGACTCCTGTTCACGGCACTCAGCCTTGCAAGGGCTGCCTTCTTCAGATCTGGCCTGTAGTAGTTGTCTGCAACCTGTATATAGTTAACTATGTTAAATATCTTCATACAAAAATGTGAAAATAGATAAGGCCGATATAACTATTTAACAAAGACAAAATTAGTGTTCAGAAGTATTTCCCAGAAGTAAACTATGGAAAAGCTTAACTAATGCAATACAGTAAGAACAGACTAGATAGGAAAAGACATAATGTGACAGATATAAAAATGAGAAAAACCTTGGCAGATGAAATTCTTACAAGTATCTCCCAAGAAAATTAAAGGCAAATGGGAAAGAATAATAACAACTCAGTCAAAATGATTCACGTGCATATGGATGCTTGACAAAAGAAAACTAATTCTCGAAGCTAAAAACCAACCATTACTTAGAACAAAGGAACTACCACATTATTTAACAGGACATCAATATTAGTATTCAGAAGTATTCACCACAAGTAATCTCCAGAAAACCTTAACAACTCATGGAATACAGCAAGAACTGAGAACTAGCAACTAACACACGAGAAGGCATAATGTAAAAGAGATGTACCAATGGGAAACCATAAATTCACCTCTTTTAAATATATCTCCAAAGAAAAAATGCAAGAGAACAATAGCAACTCATCACAATGTGTCTTTATTCCACATATAGACCCTGACGACCTATTTGGTTTGGACGATTCAACCGATCACTTCAAATAACCAAAATAGTCTATTAGGCACTATATAAAAAAAATAACTAATTCTCAAAGCTGACCAGCCATTACTTCAACAAACGTGACTATTATCAACGACTTATATTAATTCAAGGGTGTAGACTCTAAATGATCAGAATAATACACAATCCAAACACATAAAACCCTTGAACCTTAATAAAAAGTACAGTGACAGATGCTGGAAAAAAAGTTTAGCCTCAAAATTATGAAGGTAAGAGATCTTAATACATCTCTGTAACAAAGGGATTGGCTCCTTAAAATGAGCCTGTATTAAGATCATAACATAGGAAGAAGACAACAATAACCCATTATCAACATGTCGTAGTGACATAGTCAAGGCCTCAAAGGAAACCAAACAAATGCTGGTTACAAGAACTGAGCACATACAATTTTGAGGAGGCACACAAATAGAGAAGCTACCGAAATTTGATTTGATGGCAAACATTGCAAAGATACTAAGTCACCATAATGCTGTTTAGCTACAAACAATGACATAGCAAATACTCAAGGGAAACCAACCTGGTTGGTTACAGCCTTGGACATTCTGCGGAATTCCTTCTTCATCACAGATTTGTTCAGCAAAGTTGAAGGCTTGTTTTGCTTCTTGGTCTTCGATGTAGCAAGCAACACAGACTTATCTTTCCCCTCAGCCTGGATAGTCACAGTTTTCTTGTTTGCTAGGCCTAATCAATCATAACACCATAAAACAAAATTCATTTCACCTTAATTTAACCCATGCCAAATATGTAACAACAATCCAAACAAGCTGTATATTAAGCAAACCTTTCCACAATTATAAACACTACCAAACATGACAGACCTGAACTTTAGTTAAAAAACCAAATGTGTACACTTATAAAATCCTAAATAACATTCGAACGACATATGACAAATTGCATGTAAACTATCAAGCAATAGACAATTTTAACGGATTGCAATCAGAGAAACAAAATCCTGCTCTATAAATGCAATTAGACAATTTTAAGAGGTAAAAATGTAAGGGGACTAACCAGAGTGTTTGTAAGAGTGAAGGTTGTAAAGATTGTTAGGTTCTTTGCTGAAGACAACACCGGCGGTACCATTACCAAACTCCTTAACCAAAAAGGAGTTGTTTTTCTTCACGATCTCCCATACAAGTTGCCCTGGAACTGTTGTCATTTCCACTAACTGAGAGCAAATGGGGTTCCTAGGGTTTTGCTTTGACGGCGGGAAGAGGAGGATGCTGAGAGCTTAAGATCGCAAAAGTGTGTAAATTTTGCATTATATATTGGCATCTAAAACCCTAGGCAAGGAAATGTGACGGGCCTGAACAATTGAAATTACTGAAATGGCCCATTTCTCTTTCACGTGTAAACGCTCGAGAGAAATTATTTTAGTCCAAACATAAGGTCATTAATGTGAATCAACACTTTAATTTTTTTATATTAATAAAACGGATAATTTTATAGACCTTGGCCTCGTCACAATTACCTCCCTTGTGATTTACCATATTATGCTCTTCTCCCTTATTTGAATTTTTTTTGTAACAATTCTTTTAATTGAGGTAGCAAAATGGGTAAAAAAAAACAGTTATCCACCCATATTATCCATTAAAAAATGGGTTGGATAATGAACTTTTTAAAAACGGGTTTAATATGGATAAGAACCATATTATCTACTTAGAAAATGGTTAACCAAATGGATAACCAATATGTTTAACTTTTACATTTGTAAAGCCTCAAATTAGGGGTTCCTCAAGTTTTGGAAACTAGGAATTCCCCATAAGTGATCATATTCGAGAAACCATGGATAATATGGATCGGATAACCCATTTTTTATCATTCTCAAATACGGGTCGAATCGGATAATTTATCCGTTTTTTGAATTACCCGTTTTGACCGCCGAATATCTGACCCGCCTCGCCCATTTGTCACCCCTATTATTTATCATTAAATAAAATATTGTGAGCGGACCAATTTGCCCTTCTAATAATTTTATTCTACTCGTTAAAATTCAATCTAATGTCTTCTTAGAAAAGATTCTTCCAAAATTAAGAACCCTAATTTCTGTGGTGCAAGAAAAAAACCCTATTAGTAACCAATTGAAAAATGAGGCCCCCAAATTTGGAGGCCTAAAACACTTGCCTTAGTGGCTTGTGCCGGCACTGATCGGTTGAAAGTGTGAAGCAATGATTTACTTTAATTTGTTTGGTAAGCGAACTAAAAAAGTTGTACCCATCCTTTTCCAATTTTGGATGTCTAGCGGGATGCAAGGTTATCTATATAAACTCTGGGTTTTTGCTAAAAAGTAATTTAAAGCCAAAAAATATTAAAGTAAAAGTGCTTTTTAACATTTACAAGTAATTTTGTCATCCTAAATGTAAATGACCCCATTGCAGTTTCTACTTTCTACTGCCAAAGGAGAAGAAAACTCCAAAGAGATATGGCCTATATCATCGTGAAATTGCAACTACAAAACCTGGTTCTCAAAATCATACGCATTTCTCCTTTGCAATTGCAATGCAGCATACACATTATTAACATTATCATACGCAATTGCAATGCAGCTACACATTACTAACATTATCACACGTAATAGCGATGCAGCTACACATAGCTAACATTATCACACGCAATCTAGCGACACAAGTAAATTCACTGATTCACATAACTTTAAAGAAGTTCCAGTTGATCCAAAACTGAATTCCATGTGTTGCAATCTACATAGAAATAACATAACATGACCATCTCACCACATAGAAGTGACATTGCTTCTTGCAAAGAGAATGTCCCTTCCCCAACACTTGAAATTCCTCGTTCTACATCAGACTAGGATCTCATGTGCCAGAAGCTCCGCGCTTTTTCATTCTCAAAAATGAGGCTCAGTTCATAACATCTCAAAATACAAAATAAATAGAAGGGGAAGAGATTTTAAATGATGCACTGAAGTAGCCAGCGCAATCCGTACCATAAATACAAAAAGCATAAAGTTATTAACCCTCTAAATCAAAGTCGAAAAATTGAACCCATCCTAATCAGACCACCATTTTTACACCTCAACTAACGTTACATTATATACAGCAGGCAAAGCAGCCAATCAGCAGAGTTCCCCCAGCACCACATTTTCCACAAATCACACCCTGTTATTGTACAGAAATGATTCAACTCGAGAATCCAGACTGGGCTGCTAAAAATCAGAATTCCTACAGAACAAATCCTCATAGTCCACTACTCTGGCCTTTCCGGTCAATGGAACATCATTCAACCAATGCTTGGTATAATAGAACGGTGGGCAGGTCGTACTGAGCTATTTAATGCTTCATTTATCCTACTGAACACTATTTTCAGGGGGACACAAGCTACTGCAGGGCCTTTAAGCTTCTCTACTACAGGTTTCTTCTCTTTATTTTGTTGGTGAGAACCAGTTAAGGAAGACAATTTTCTAATCTTCTTTGAAAGGAGGCCGTTTTTCCTCGTCTTGGGTGACTTAGTTGGTGAACCACGAGGTTGCACCATGTGATGCCTAGTCGATATCCTGGCCGCCAAACTTGGCTTGGATTCATAATCCATATCCGCACCTTGCAAAGCTGAGTTGTTCTCACTGTGATCCTCATCCAAGTCATAGCTGCTGCTATAGCACTCAGATCCACTGACTAGCAGATTATCACAAAAGCCATCATCCAAGACTTCAACTGTGAGAGGGTGACCTATGATAGGCTGACCATTCAATTTGCTCATTAGAGAAATATATGGAACATGCTGTGGACGATAGCTGGCTTTGACCTCAAGATTAACATCATACAGTGAAGAATCAGCTATGTGGTGCCTAAGAGAAAAATCTGATGACTCATACTTGGGGTTAACTGTATATCGAGACTGGCGATAGGGTAGCAACCTTTGGGGAGCTAGCAGCTCTGCTGTTGGCCCCTTCATACAAGCTTCTCTGAGAGAAACATTCCTGCTCCAACCTCGCAACTCATCCACTATGGATCTAGTTTGGGACTGAGGCATAGTTGTTGCTGGTCTCGACTTTAAACTATATGTCAAACTCTCTGAAGCATGGGAACCACCAGTATTATAGCAACCAGCTTTCCGACCTGGAGAAAGAGGGAATGCATCAAGATCCATAGCAGTCAAATATACATTTGATTCATCTTTTAAGTCAACGTGTTTTACAGAATCTTTCTTTGTAATCTTACTTGTCTGCCTTGAATTCCTCTTTCCTTTCAACTGCCACTTTGAAGTTCCTTTCTCCATCCTCTGGCTGAAACACTGGAAATCGTCACTACCAGAACTAGTAGAGTCTGAGTCATCAAGCTCCTCACTCCCAAACGAAATAGCTTCAACTTGGCTGCCCTGGCTAGACTGTGCCCCAACACCACCTTGAGCCTTCTGAGATGTACAAGACATAATAGGAGACAAGCCTGTGTGGAGAAATAAAGAACATCAGCATACACAAATAACAAGAACAACAATCCAATGGGGAAAAGGCAGACAGAGATAGATCAGACAGCAGAAGAGCAACCATGTTAAATCGGAAAAAGGAAGAATAAACAGCGGAAGAAAAGCTTTTTTAATATAACAGCTTCACAAATCATTGGTGAAAAAGCTACTAGAAACTCATAACGTTGATAAGAGAAGAAATTGAAGACAAATTCACGTACAAAGAAGTGTCATGACAAGTTCACCCACTGAAAAGGTATCCTCAATACAAATCGTCAAATCCACAGAAAAGATTTATTTTTTTTTTGAAACAGTTGCATTAGAAAATAAGTTCTTAATCCAAGTTCGACAATGAGAGTTTAGAAATTTTTCTAGAGTGAGATTTAAGAAGTCCAAGACAGGCGGAGGCTGGTGTATAAGGTTTTGTATATAACACATTACAGTGTCATGAGAAAACATGAGACAGAAATGGGTGCTTCTACTAATTAATCTGACTCAGCCACAAACCCCAACATGAAGTAGAGAAGTGAGAGAGTCCCACTCTATAATGCAAACCAACTGCGAAGTTAAGGGGAATGATTCACCAAAGCTACCACAACCAAAATCTACCAATTCAAATCACTTAAACTAAGTCGTGTCTTATGCCTAAGAACAAAGACCAATGAGGCTTCCATGAGACCTGGAGCACATTAGTTTTGGGTCTTCCATAACCAAAGGGAAGGGAAATCCTGTTGCATATATGCTCTTCTAAACCATATTATGCAGTATGCACAGAGGTTATCCACCGAGGTTATCCACCCTAAGATTCCAAGGTTCTAAACCGCGTTTTTTAACAATTAATGCATCAGTTGCCAAATATATTTACTGTTTAGTATCGTCCACTTAAAGACAGACCCATTGGAGTCGAGGCACATGCCTTATGTGCTCACAGAATGGAATACTAGAGGATTGGCCCTGGAAACATGTCTGGAGGACCAGAATGTCACTCAAAGTAGCATGCCTCACATGGACTGCCCTCAATGAAGCTGCTTTAACACAAGACAATCTTAGCAGAAGGAGCATTACTCTAGTCAACAGATGCTATATGTGCCAACAGAGATTAGAAAGTGTTAACCATCTGTTTCTTGATTGCCCAGTCACTGCTGATATTTGGACTTCTTCCTATCCATATTTGGTATATAACTTGGATCATGCCTCACACCGTCAACGAAGTCTATATTAGCTGGTTTTTTTGGAGAGCTAACAAAGCCATCAAAAGAATATGGAGAATGATCCCAGCAGTCATATTTTGGATTGTTTGGAATGAAAGAAATGCAAGATGTTTTGATGGAATATCAAGTTATCAACTCCAACATATTCCCGAAAAAAGCTAGATGTTTAGTTAGTTTGTTCAGTTGGAACTTTCTTTCCCCTGTTAATAGGGTTGACACTTTATTGGATTTAGTTAGCTCCTTGGTTCTAGCATAGGTACTCTTGTACTGGAGCTTACAATGTATTGTCTTTTGTATGGGAGCTAACACAATTTCTGTCTTTGTAATTTGGCATCTTCCTGATGCCCTTTCAATGATATTATCTTACTTTATAAATAAAATAAAAAAAACCTTCGCGCCTACACTATAGCACCACCTAAGCATTGCCAAATGGACAACCTAGCTTTAAATGAGTGCTAAGCACACCTCAAATGAGCCTTTAATAACACTGCCACTGCAAAGAAATTTTAAACATTACAATGCAAAGAAATTTCTGTTAATGCACATGAATACCTGCAGAATGCTTCTCTTCTGTAACTAAAGGCACATCAAACAGCCTGTCAGAAGAGCCACTCCCAGACAACCCCAAAATGCTGGAAATTTCACTCTCTTTCTGTTTGCATTTAACAAGGGAAGAATCATGAGCGTAACCAAATGCATCCAATGGTTTCCCATTCACACAGGTAACTGAGATATTATCTGTGTCGTTATTGAGTACAGTAGGGGAACTTTTCCCAGACTCTATAGACTGTAACCCATAAACTTTGCTTTCAGACACCCCTACGAGAGTAGAGCCAGTTGGACTAGGAAGTTGTTCACACATTATAGGAACAGACACCATTGCTGTACTCTCCAAAACTTTTGTTAAGGGCCGGCGACGGTTCTTTCTCTTTAAAAAATCATGAACATGTGCCACCTGAGATCTCTTCCTTTTCAGAGATGACACCACACCCATCCCCAGGTCANAACTTTGCTTTCAGACACCCCTGCGAGAGTAGAGCCAGTTGGACTAGGAAGTTGTTCACACATTATAGGAACAGACACCATTGCTGTACTCTCCAAAACCTTTGTCAAGGGTCGGCGACGGTTCTTTCTCTTTAAAAAATCATGAACATGTGCCACCTGAGATCTCTTCCTTTTCAGAGATGACACCACACCCATCCCCAGGTCATCAAGTCCTTTCATGCGCTTACTTCCCTCAGTTCCATCATCCTCTGAGTCGTTTGGTGTTCTCCTCCGTCTCCCACACACAGGTTTCTCATTAGAAGCAATTACATGATTTGGCGCCTCAAATGATACACCAGATTGAGATAATTCTTGAGCAGAATTTGAATTATCTTCTGAACTAGTCAGTTCCTCATCTAAATCCTTACCATCTTCAAGAGGATTAGATGAAGTATGTGAGTCTTCCATGGTATGATGCTCTCCATCTTCTTTATCTATTCTTGAGAAAAAATTTGGATGGTCTTTCCCAAGACGAGCACTTTCAATCTCTAGAGCATGAATAATGGCATCCTCTCTTCGAGCATATTTGACAGCCTTTCTTGAAGAGTTAGCAGCAGCAGCCTTGGCTTTCTCAATACATTCATCATACTCCCCACAACGAAAGGCTTTCACCCGCTTAGATTTTTCAAGATTATACCAGTCCCTGAAACAGCAGCAATTATTAGACCTTTTTATCAAGAATCGAGGTAAAAGGAAAAGGAAAATATTCACTTCCACCGTTGGTACACTCCTTAAAAAGGGAGGGCAAAAATGGGACGAGCAAGAAAAAACAAGTCCATTTAAAAGAGAACAAAGATGACAAATACTGCTATTAGAGAAAGTAAAACACGTGACTGAAAAGGAACACCATATATCTGAACTGCGGAAGTATTAGCAGGTTAAATGATAGCAAGGAAATTAATGCCAACTTTTCTTGGCAGCCCAATAATTAACAAGGAAAGTAATGTCTCCGTAACTGGGAGAAACGGGTGCAACTACAAAAAGGACTAAGATGCTTTTAGTATCCAACAAGTCAAGAACTTTGAGCCACTTGAACCAATTTTAATTTGTGAGGAACACGTAGAACTGGATTCTGCAACAGGAACAATCAGAAGCAAAAATGGCTCTGAATGACTTCTGTCCATGATGCCACTGAGGTAGAACCGCAATTAGGAAACATATAGTAATCTTAGCTAGCTTTAAAACTCAACTTTTACCCATAGAAGGAAGATTCCCCATATTGCCAAATAAAATCCTGCATGTCACATACAGATATGAAAAAATGGTTACAACACTTGCAAAAGTCAAGAATCAACATTGTTACTTGACAATTGCCAATAAACACCTGAAAATATCGATCTCACGGCTTACATTAAACTTTTCAAAGCCAAAAACAGGTGTACGTACTACATAAATGGCACAAGCAGTATAGACCAGTTCACAACAAAGAAAGTACCATAAGAAAGCTAAATGAAACACTAAAACATTGTGTAATAGAAGCAGATCGAGTTGCCTAACATTCCAAAAGTCTGAACGCCTCTCCACAAGAATCAGTAAGACCTAACCGTAAGTTATTCTGTAGGTTTCATAGTTTAACTGTCAGAAGTAGTTCCCACAATTTCTTGTTTCACGACATGGTAATTAGGTTCGTTAGCTTAGTTCTATTATAGGTGGTAAGTAAATTGACACACACTACGTCTAATATTTTTGTTCCAAAACAGACACTACAAGTCTATAACTATGCGACTTCTGTGCACGAGGAACCTTAGCAGCTACAGGAATGAATGAACCACACACTCGCGAACTCCTTCCCTTCAACCAACTCTAGAACACAAATTCTCCATTCATTTTAATTTTACTTCATCGTCAAAAATTTAATCCTTCTGATCCAAATTATCTGTCTTTTAAGGTTTTTGCATATTCCTATCCAGATCCTAAGCACATAAAGCATCAACCTAGCTCCACAGAGGAATCTAATGTCTTTTTTATCCATTTTTGACAAGTTTAGGAGTGGGAACTATAATTAGGATTAATGGGAGAGACTACTAACAATCTCCACTTCAAACAAATAGCAAGGAGAAAGTCTCATACTTGAAGGAACACCACATAATAAGATAAATAAATAAGGCACCCAAGGGTGTGGCCTGGTGGTTAATGAAGAGGGTTGAGAATCATGAGGTCTGAGGTTCAAATCCTAACACCAAGACAATCCCGTGTGAATAAGTAGAGGTGCGCGCAAGCTGGCCACAACACCATAGTTATAAGGAAAAAGATAAATAAATAAGACAAAGGCAGTGAAAACAAGAACTTACACACTGGCATCTTCTCTGCCAAGGAGCTTAACAGGAGTGCCTGATCTTGGTGAAACAGAACAACTCTGAGGTAACTCATCTGGGCCCAAAATTCGACCAGGCCACCACGACCCATTTCGCCTGCGGACCCACACCAGCCCACCCACCGACGCATCAATGGCTTTGGCACTTGACTCACCCGAACTCCCCATTTCCTCTTCAAAGAAAGCAGGGGATAAAATAGCAAAAAATCCCCAAATTCAGTCAATCCACAGCATTCCTCCTAAGCACCCAAAAACCCCTACAAAAATCACATCTTTTCCTGTCATAAAAAAATCCACATAGCTTTTTAAACCACAGAACAAACAAAAAAACAGTTTAAATTAACGGATTTTTCAGAAAGAATTGAACCCTCACATGCACCAAAAAAGCCCAGGTATACAAAACATTAAACAAAAAAACAAGGAAAGAATAACAAAACAAAACAGATTGAAGGGGTTATTGCAAGAGACAGATAGATCTAGCTGAAAAGAAAAAAAACAATGAAAAAACTTCTTCGGTTATGAATAGGATTTATTTTCCTTATTTTCCCGAAACTATATTTAGAATAAGCAAAACCCACCTCCCTATTTATTTGGATTTTAAAATCCTTCTGTTTTTTCTTGTTTCACTCTGGAGGACATTGAGATTTTAGTTCCAGCGAAAGGGTACAAGAAAAAGGAGAGTGAGGTGTCCGCCGCAGAAGAGAAGTTGATGAACAATGGTAGTAGAAAAGAGTGGCTTCTCTCTACTTACAAAAATAAAAGGATCCAACGTACCCTTTTGAGTATCTTCCTTTATTTCCAAAACAGAGAAGGAGAGAACCGTCTTCGCACGCACACACAAACGAAAGAGAGCGAGAGAGAAAGAGAGAGAATTTTGTGTTTTTTTCTTGTGTGGATTAATATTTCGTAATTTATTTTTGGAGTTTGGGGGCAGAGGTGATATAATAATAAACAGAAAAGGGAAAAAAAAGTGTTGTGATTCAGCATTGACAGGAAGTACGCTAAGATATCTACACCTCTTTACTGTGTGTCTCTTCGTGGACCCCACTTTTAGTTCAAGAAAACGTGCCCTCTATTTTGTCATAATTGCAATAACTTCCCATGTGAAATGAGTAAATTGTTACTTTAACCCTTAACTAAAGCATTGATGACTGTCTTAGTGGTTGAACTCAAATTTGAGGCACTAATCATTCACTTCCTTCTAATTAAAACACTAGATTTTGAGCCAAACACTTTTATACTTTAGAATATTTTAGCATATTTTAGCAAATTTAATACAAGTGACATAAATTGAAGTCAAATTATGCGAAAGGAACATGAAAGGTAAAGCATATTTGAGTCTAAAAATATTACGTTATGAGTAAGTAAATTTTTAATTTATTCTTTCACTATTACTATTATTGTTAAAGAGGACTTTCGTACTTATAATATAACTTGTTCCACTAATTATTAGATGAATTTTTTTCCTTGACAAAAAAAGAGGGAGCTAATCTCTTATTCCAATAGTCAATTTAGACTTTTAGAATCTAAATGTTAAGTTTTGATCATGCTTTTGTTTTTATTTTTTTAATTTTCTTGAAATAAAAAGAAATTTACAATATGCTATTGCTTAATATTGCTTTTGAAATGTTTTGAAGTAAAGAATTAATCTATTATGATTTAAATTCGTCGATAGATAAATGGCTCTTCAAAAAGTGCAATAGTACCATCATAAATTGAGAGAGCGAGGATTTTGTCAATAAATTAGGTGAGGTGCTATATAATAGTGCAAACCATATGGACGTAAGTGCCACAGAAAGAAACCACAAGGAGGCTTTGACAATTACAAAGAATTGACTTTAGCAGCCTTTTAGATAAACGGCTCTGATTAATCATGATCACTGCTATAATTAAATGGTCTTTTTAACCCTTGGCTGGATTCATTTGACTTGAAATTCAAATACGACGGCGTAGCCTACTATTTGGTCCTTTTGTGGTAGAGCTCTTTAGGTTTTCTTCTACAGCGTTGTACCCAACTGTGTGCGCTATTTCTGATCGCGAAGCAAGAGCAAACGAGAAATTCATTAAAGAGCAACCATGACAGGTAATTTCCTTAAAAGATTTGATTTTTCCCACAAATTTCAGCTAATCGAACCTTAATCTCTTGATATTTCTATTCAATGAATGAGCTGTTCCTTTATAAATGAAAGATTTTAGTATCTGAGCTATTCTACTACTCTTTTGATTCATTAAAGAGCAACCATGACAGGTAATTTCCCTAAAAGATTTTATTTTTCCTACAATTTTGAGCTTATTGAACATAATTGGGCCTTTCAAATTAAGATTGTGTATGGCCAAATTTTATCTGTTCAGATAAGAAGTAAAAAACAATAAAAATGGATTCTTGATTTAATTTGGCTATGAATTTACTCTTCAGACAGACCCTGAGGATATGCTAGGCATAAGTTATGCGGGTTTTGCATATATTGGTTTATCTACAATTGACTTGAATTCATTGAGTGCGATCACTATAATTATATCTGTCTTATTAGAACTTTGGACTAGACTATGCACAGGAACAAGAGATGGAAATCGAGGCGTTGGAAGCAATTCTTATGGATGAATTCAAAGGTTTATGACTATCCTTGATGATTCAATTTCTAGATTCTTTCATCTTTGTTGTCGAATCTCATCAGATAGCTTTATTGTGGGTTTCTACCAGAAATTCACTCCAGTGAAAGTGGGCTAAACACTTCAAATCGATGCTTCCAAATTACTATTAGTCCTCAGGTACATGGCAATCTTTGCAATAGTTTATTACTTGACTTTTAAGATAGATAATGAATAGAATAATGTAGTGCATAGGGCCAGAGTTATTTTATAAGTAATCGATCTTTTGTTTGGCGGCCTTGTCTATTATTGCACTAGCTCAAAGGAACTAGACATCTCGTGTTCCTTCATTAGTGGGGTTCATGCTTTTTTAATTACTAATTTCATACTTCTTACAATGTTGCTTTTTGCATAGGAGGATGATGAAGAATCTACATATTCATCAGGTATTTCTATTTGTCTCACAGTTATTTCCTCTACAGCTCTCTTGTGTACTGCTTTTTATTTAAGTATATGAACTCCTGCTAACAATAATTGCTACCAAATTGTTGCTGCAGTTCGACTAGCTTTAATATTCTCTCACACAGAAAAGTATCCCGATGAACCTCCACTTTTGAATGTCTCAAGGTAATTTTACCCTTCCACTAGGATACACCATCCCAGGACCTGTAGTGTGTTCCTTGTTTTGGGTTATAAATGTTGCATAACAGAGGGAAATATCCTTGTGCAGTTTTGTTGCTTGTAAGTTGAATTAGATTTTTACCCGTAGTTCAACATATCACAAATCGCATGTCTTTTATGTAGTTTCTTTGCGAAAATGACAAGCAGTAAAGACTAAATAATCAAAGACGAAGAACTCAAATTTTAATGTGGTTCAGCAAGCTTATATCCATAAGTGAGTGATTTGTGCACTTAAAACTGTTTACAAGCTTCTCTAATATTCTTAACAGCAGATCTGTTAGTAGCACTCATTCTTCTATCAATATAACATGAGGTGCCCCTAGTAGCTACATTAATTTTGCTTTACTATTGTGATTTGATATAAACAACTTTGTGCAACTGATACATTTAGAGATCTTTCTTGTTTTTTCAGTTTAAAAGGAATTCAATCTGGAGATCTTAAAATCTTGAAAGAGAAGCTTGAACAAGAGGTATGTTTTCAAGCCCAAATCTTATGCAATACGCCCCTGAGGTTGTTTTCTTAAAAATATTGTTTCCTCTGCCAGTTAAAGAATTTGGCCATTTATTGTGGCAGTGACTCTGACCCTACCCCCGACGCCCAAAAAGAAGCCCATATTCTCTGGTCTTTCCTGTCTTTAACACTTAGCTACTGATGTGGAATGATTTATAGAAATTGACGAGCGTTGTTCTTTTATCTAAATCATGCACTTGTTTTTTTACTTCTTCTCTGAATGCTCGCATTCGCAGGCTGTTGAGAATCTTGGCATGGCCATGGTCTACACATTGGTCACATCAGCTAAAGACTGGCTATCTGAAAGATTTGCTGAAGAAACAGGAGCCGAAGATGCTGAAGATGCTGAAGCCAAAAAAGAGGAAGTAAGTTATTTATCCTGATTGAGCTGTTGCATGTGAATCAGCTTTCATTAACTGCAAAATTGGGAAGTCATAGATCTAGGATTCTAGTGATTTTAACTCATGAATCGTGAATTGCCCACGGCTTCTATTGAGCAGACAAAACTAGGTTGCTTTAGTATGATTTTGATAACTTATCCACTTAATNGGGGGGGGGGGGGGAATAAAGGAAGAAAAGGCATGTTCTCTTCTGATGGTACTTGGGATCAAGCTCCAACATATATTCTTCTAATTTCACTGAATAAGTTAGCTAGAAATATAACGTGTATTTTTTGTTATAGAAGGGCCAGTCAGGCCAAGATATTAGGATGTACCTGAAATCTACCCAAAGTTCTTTTATATGAAGTAAGAAGTTTCATTAAAGGCATCAAGAAGATGCAATCAGTTCCAAAAAGGATTACAAAAAGGTGCAGTTAGCTCCAATACAAATAAGCTAGGCTACGCACAGGGAGCTACAAAATCTAAAAACTGAACTGATGAATTTACATTGGAAAGGTTATACCAACTACATAAAAGCAAAAGACATTTGGTTTCAGGAAATGATTAGGAGTTGATACACCATCAAAACATCTGAGATTCCTATGAAATTCTACCCAAAGTTGTGAACAATTCGAGCATAGCGACTTTTGCTAGTCTGTGCTTGAAAGTGGTAAGACTGTAATAGGACTTGGATCTGCCTGTATCTCAGTCAAGGTAGTCGGAGGTGACCAACACTTCACTTTTGTTAGTTAATAGTTTCAGCAAACCTTGAGGATCTAGCTTGCATCTACAATTTTAAAAGCAATTATGTGGTGCTCTGTTGAACTAACAACTGGAAAATCTTCTGTTAAGATTTTACTTACTGTTTTGACGGATTGGCCTTGAATCGTGATCACTTAATTGTTATTATTCATTTGACTTCAGGTAATTGTACCACATGGAGAACCAGTTACCATCGAAACATTCTTGGCATGGAGGGAAAGATTTGAAGCCGAACTAGCTCTGGAAAGAGCCAAGTAAGTCTCTTGCGTTGGCTTCTCAACCAAAGTTGTGGCACTGGATGTGGGTCTTCTTCATCCAATAAAACTAGAAACATTTTACTTTTTGAAATGCCAGTGAAGCTGCATACAGTTAAAACAGATTATCAGCTCCAGATTTCTGAGCAACTCCAGGGGCAAATGTTTATTCTTATTCTTATTTGTTGAGAGGGAACTTTAAACAGGGTTGTGTGTCAGATATTAGGAATTATTGCATTGTGAAGCTATAGACAGAATGTATTGATTATGGCTATGTGTTACCTTTTAAACTCCTTTGCTTTGAACATTTCTGCTTTAGAAACTTGTGGCTGGCCAACTACTTTTCTGCGTTCCTTTTATCCAAATTTGGCTATTATGTTCCTGATTTGCAACCATATATCAACGTTCAGGTTAATGCCAGATTCGGCACTTAATGCTCCAAAGGAAAAGAAACTGACAGGGAGGCAATGGTTTGAAAGTGGAAGAGCCAGTGGGGTAATTTATTCTTTTGTGTAGTTGCTGTTTCGAAGTTTATAATGAAGTTGTGCTATTTTAATCTCATCGATGCATCAAATTGATTTGAGTCAAAAACGACAGCCAAATATAGTTTCAACTTTCTTGATACTGACCATAGTTCCGTAAGGCTATGCCATTATGGGGAGGCTGTCACTCTCTCTCTCTCTCTCTTTTTTTTTTGTGTTTATTAAATGTGAAGACAATAGAGTTACCTTGTACTTGTACTGGTGGGAGGTAGCATGTACCCGTTGAATTAGTCAAGGTGCACGCAAGATAGCCCGGATACCACGGTTATCAAAAAAGAAAAAAATGTGAAGGCAGTGTTACGGGACAAGATCCAATTCGTCTTTGCTAAATATAGTAGCATTAGCCAACGACATTGCAACAAGGACATTGATGTTTTCCTGAATTCAGCAGGATTGCAAATTGTACGATGCAAGTAACAGAAACCCAGTGTCCTGATTTTTTTGATAGGCTTTAATGTGATCTCACTATTTGCTTTATTATCCTTTACTTTCATGTTGTCAGAACTTTTTGGTGTCGGTGGGAGCAAGTATTATGAGGCTCATAGAGAAGAATTCCTGTATAATAGAAGTGCTGCTCTGGGCTCTGTTTCTTTTCCTTTTGATTATTCCAGCTGCTCGTAATGTTCCCTGACCATACATTAATTCAAACAGCTAAATATTATACTGCATTCCGCTGTATTGGTGAATGTTTGTAAGTCAAAAGTGTTTGCTGTATGTAGTGGTGTCTCCTTCGAATCGGGGCGAGGTCCTGTTACTGTATAAGCTGCTTAGGCAAGGTTGTGGGTTCATAATATGGTTAGCTGTGGCTATTGCTAAACAGGGGTTGTTTCTTTTTGTTGTCAACAGAAAGCTGCGGCAGCTATTACTGAAGAATCTGATGAAGATGAGGATGATATTGATTTTGATGATGATGATTTTGAAGGTCAGTTTCCTTGTTCTTGGTTTTCTTCTATTTATTTGTTTGTGAATCAAAATGACATGATTATTTTTCGTTAATTTTTTTTGTGTGGACAGATGATGAAGAAGATATGCTTGAGCACTATTTGGCCGAGAAAACAGATTGATCATCTCATTCTTGAAGAAGAGCCAGTTAAAATTTATTGTGTTTTATACTGAATGCGGAAGTATTATTTCGCTCATTCCTCAATTGTTGTAATGAGGTAATTGCAGGTTATACCTGTGCCGGTTTTGGCCCTAGATCAGACAGCATGAGTACTGAACATACGTTTACGAAGAGAGAAATACAGTTTTTGATTTATTTAAAGAGTTGCTTGTGCCGTGCAATTTAAATGTTGCTCATCTGTTTCCTGTTGGTTTAGATATGTTCAAAACTCTCGGTTGAGGAGTAGTGGGGAGAGATTTACTAATATACTGGTAAGCGATCAAGAATGAAAGGAGCAAGAGTAAGCATATCTTGCCATGACAAGTAGAATGCTAGGTGGTTCAGGTGCTTTGTTGTGTATAAATAGCAAAATTGCATTCTTAAGTTTCTTTAGCTATTTTTCAAAGCGGTAATGTTTTTTTTTTGGTTTAAGGTCGTCAATCGTGGAAACTTCTCATTTTCGAGCGTGTCTTTTACGCAAAGAAGGTTGTGCAAGTCTCTTTCATGTTTTAACACTTCAAAGTTATGAGCGTTTATGTCAAAATGAGATTAAGCCTTTTAAAGAACTGGTGTAAATGTTGTGTAAAGGCGTTAACAAAAGGTAAATAAAGCTGAAATTGCTACCAAGGGGTGGCCTAGCGGTTGAAAAGTTGAAGCGAGTAACTTGGATTGTTTAAATAGAGGCAACACGAGGTGAATTCTTCCTATCTGTCTAAGCTTAGGCAGTAACATTATCAGTGTTGTGCTGGTAGGAGGTTGCAGATGTCCATGTATCAACTAAGATTCGTGTAAGTTGGTTTAGATACTACCATTATAAGAAAGAAAACAGTATCTATGCGAAAGTATATGAAGACTTCCACTGCAATGTATATATGATTTTACTTAAATCTTTTAGTACAGATAGTTTAGTTACAGTCATACAGACGCGAACGAATGTAAGCAGTTTTCATATGCCTTATTTTTTGGAATACTTGGTTTGATCCTCATCTCCACCTTTGTAGTAATAAAACTTGTTTTGGTCATCTCCATATCTGTAGTTCAAAGACACAGAAGATGCGAGTTTTTTCAGCCTTTGTTGAGCCATCTGTAAGACTGTAGTAGTCTTTATTTTAGCAATGTAACAGCAAATAGCATCTAAATACCACCCGCTTCTCCCCTTGAAGCCTACAATCTGGCCACCTTCCATCGGCAGGGAGAATCGCGTTCCTTCTTCAACTCCAAAAGGTCCAAATGTTCTTCTGTTGCTGCTAAAGGTGAGGGATCGTATCACTGGACTGCCACCATAGACCACTGGACAATAGTAGCCGCTAACGCCCGTCAAGTATTCTCCTGGAAATTGCAGCTTAATCTGGAAATGAAATTCACTTAAAGACATTAATTTTCATAGTAATAGCAGCTAACTTTTGTAAGGTTGAGTTAAAACCTTCATTTTCCTTAACATAATATTAGAGTCAAACCCTTTCTTATTGTTGTTTTATCCAACGAAGGACTCCATGTAAACATGCTATATTATCCGCACACCAAATGATCAGTCCTAAGAATGGGGAAGAGATGTGTTAAGTGTCCCACATTGAGGGAGTGAGTACATTGTTATCTTTATATTGTCTTGGACAATCTTTGTACAACAACGAACCAGTAAAATCGCACAAGTGGCGTTTGGCGAGGCTAGTGTGCACACAAACCTTATCCCTACCCGATGGAGTAGAGAGGTTGTTTCTTGGGCAATCTTTGTCTCGTGAACTAATTTTTGGGGTTGAGTAATGTAACTAATCTGCTATAGTAAATGAAACACTATACTGATTCTTTATATTATCAGTGTACGTAGCTAAAATCCATAGAATAAAGTATTACCTGTGCAGTTTTACTACCTCCAACTCCTCCATGCTTCTCTGCTTTATAAGGCTTGCCATTTTGGTCATAGACCACAGTCATGGAGTCTATACAGAGAGAATAGACAAGGGTAATTTCTCTCACTCCAGTGAAACCACCATCGTCCCACGGGCTTCCACCATGACCACCCCACGGTCCAACAACGATCCTCTTCTTTAATTCGCCTGCTTGCTCCTTCCCAACCGGCCTCTACACGCATGGAAAACATTTTTCGATCATATCAAATAAATCAAAAAGAGTAACTTTTAAATTCGAGAGAACTTACCATGTCCATCCACGAAAATGCAAAGATAGACGCCAACAGCTGATTTAGTTGCTTTCAAGAAAGTACCAGTCATATATAGAGGCAGAAGCCATTGTTGTCTTGTCTACTTCTGTAGCAATACGTATCTGATTCCCATTTCTATCATTCTTCAGAACCTTAGCTTTTCATCTTTTCTAGTGATTTGACATTAATTGAGATGGTACAAATCTTATCATGGTTGAAATCTTTGGTGAGAACCAGATTCGTATGGCAAAGGAAACAGAGAGAGAGAGAGATACCGCGCTCCTTTATCCTAGAATACAACTATAGGAGTACTAGTGTTTATTCCAATAAGCACTAATACACCATTTTTCAAATCAATAAAGGAAGATTTAAAACCAGCACTAAGAGTGCCGAAATATGTACAGCAAAAAGTTTGAGATAGTCTCCCACCAACCCTGAAAGGAGCTGATAAAATCTTAGACACAGTACCAATCCATATTTTTTAGGTGTTGGATACATTTACATACCAATTTGTCCAAGTAACATGCAAAACAAACCACCGGGAAAATGGAGTTGACAAATTATTTGGATACTCGCATCAAAAGAACGTTCTTAATTTTGCCCGTAGTCAATTGGGACGAACAAGGGGTGGGAACCAAATTCAACTTGCTTCCGTAAAGTATAAATATCTTGTACCAAAACTCAAATGTTTGTCTGACTGTAACATTATCTAAAGAAGAAAAAGAAAATTTAAGAGGACAATATGGTCATATAACTGACAATATGGTCGTATAACTAAGTGTGCGCCACAAATAAGTAGAGTTAACATCTCGGTCCTATTTACTCATTGATATCAGTTAGCTCTGTATCCCTATGCACCATTGACTCGTCCATTTCTGTTATGTCTGTATCTTCCGGCAGCGGCAAGGGTGACGATCTCCACTTTAGTTCAAAACTCGTATTGGGATTTACATTAGACGGAGAAAACTCAAACATTCTAACGTCTTCTAAATAATGTCGCCAGCATTTCTTTGAGTAATATTTACAACAGCTAGGAGTCTTCTCTTTGTTCATCATGATCTCCTTTTTGATCTGTATTCCACAGAAATAACAGTGAGTACTAACCAGTGTACCAATAGAACGCATTGATAAACTAGAAAGTATAATCTAAGGATCCAGTTCAGACAGAGCTAAGCTTACCGCGAGAAGGTCACTGCTGGGAGATGTCATTAAAATAAGAGTTTTTGGGTGAAAATAACGCAAGTGACTATTGAGAAGATTTCCCAGTGCTCTTGATGATTTAGTCAATTCTATCTTGAAGTCTCTAGAGGGAAGAAGATGGATTCCTCTCATTTCCTCATATATAATCACATCCTATAAGTGCCACAAGAATAAATAAACAAATAAATACACAAACAATTCAACATATGAGAAGCAATAGACAATCATCAATGATAATTTAATACAAGAGTTTAAAAAGTTTGAGACCTGTTTAGAGGCAAGAAACAACTTGAAACCTTTGGCTTCGAACCCTTGAATGAATTTCTGAACTTCAAAAGGATGAAACTTCTGTTTTTGGGATTTCAAGTGAAGCTTCACTTCTTGCAACTGTGAAGCATTCATGGAAAAAAAAGGCAGCTCAATACCAGTATATTCAAATGAAAGTAGATTTGGTGCATCAATGTTGGCTTCCTTTAGTTTGCTGCACCTTACTACTGAAAGCTTCTTCAGCTTGTCACTCAATATTGTCATCCTCCGCAACGCATGGCACTCTAACAGGAACAATTTTTCAAGTAATGGGAATTCGGCGATACGTTCCTGAAATGACTTATCTGCCATGTGTGCATGCCTCAACATCAAATTCTTAAGATTTCCGCACCCTGCTAAGTTTAATTTGCACCTTGAAGATTTCTTTCCGTGGAACCAAAATGTCTCAAGATTGGGTGCCTCTAGTTTGACCGACCTGAGGTTGGAGCCCTCATGAACTTCCAACCTTTTTAGTTTAGGCAGAGTTGAGACATGCAAGAATTTCAAAAGATGGCACTTGATCAGTCGCATATCTTCGATCAAAGGGCAGCCTTGGACAAAATTATGGACGACATTCTCATTGATACGCATAGCTTTCATGGATAGCTCCCGCAGGTTTTGGAGCTTTATGACAGCAGAAACATCCATTCCACATCCGTCGAGTTTCAATGAAGTTATTGTCCTGGAAGCAAAGGCGACCTGAGGCAGTACATAACATTGGCTAACCATATTCTCATAGACATCATCAGCCTTCTTCACATGGATATCAAGCTCTTTAACATTCTTGTCAGTAGCAACACTAATCCAGTTATTCATATAGGGAGTCATAAGATCAGCAACAAAAGAGGAGACATGCAGCCTGAACTTTTGTATACTTGGCAATGGTTCAATTCTGGTTGCTAAGGTGTTCTCAACAAACAGAATGAACTTTATTAATCGCAGATCTACATATCCAGCTGCCAGGGATTCCTTAAACACCTGCTTGAAACTTGCGCTCTGTTCCTCCACTGGTGGAGATTGGAGATGATTTGAAGCTCCAACCTTATGATTTTGGAAGCGCCTCTGATCAAAATCAACGGACGTGAAAGATTCCCAAATGACTTTCCACTTCTTGGACAAGATGCTAGTTCTCACAATATCCTTTGGCCAACGGAGAAGACAAAGGATGTGATGTAAAATGTGTTCAGGCAACTCAGAGATCCTGTCCGCATCATCAGCTGCTCTTCCATCTGTGTTGATGATCTCCATTCTCTTTCCCTTTTTAGTATTTACCTTTCTCTGTCTTGCAGCCTTTCTTTTCCTTCTCTTCATTAAAGTCCCCTCTTTGCAAATTCTAGAGACCCTTCGTTTTGCAAACAACAAGCGTACAACTTTAGACATCATACCCTTGCCTAAAATTCTTGTTCAAATTCAAGAAAGAAACCTCCGTTTCGTTAAAAACTGCATCTTTACTTTTAACATATATCAACGAAACTAATACCCCAAAGAGAAAATAAAACGATCCAACATTAATAGGAAAAAGAAAAAAGAAAAAAATATAAATCAATTTTTAACCTGTATCAGCAAGTAATTCAAACAAAAAACTTAAATGATTTTACTGATATTTGTGCCAAAATAACGTATGCATAAACGTAATAGAATTCGAAGTAACCTAAGCATAATCTTTCTAATCAGCCTGAAACACTAAATGCCTATTCGGGGAACAATTTGATCCTATCGTTTCGTAGATATAATCTCAGAGATACAAAAGACAATCAAATAAATACGCGAAATACCTGCAGAGATTGCAGATACTTGGATTCGGGAAGACGAAACAGACCAACTGTGATTTGATCAGCCTTTTGACGGTTAAGCTAGTTATATAGGGTTCGCCGATTGTAACTACTATGTGGAAACGGCCGGGTTAAGTTTGATGGGCCGGGTTCTGTTGAAAAGCCCAGATAAGGCATATTTTGGGCCTAAAACCCCAGTTTTGCCTATTAATCATAGTGAATGTTACGGAAATGTCCAAAATAAGTCTTAACTTATCGACTTCTAGTCAATATTTTACATAATTACTTATCGTTTCATAAAATATTTCATAATCTACAACTATTAATTGAATAACATATTATACAACCTGAGCATAGTAAAAGTATAAAAAGATATACCCTATAAAATATGGTAGTTCCCTATAAAGAAGGAAACCAATTCTGAAACATATCACTTCATCAATCTAACCCTAAATATTCTCAATTACATTAAATATTTATAATTATCCGAATCCAAGACAATCTCCATTCTTTTAACTAACTTTTACGATAAGTCATTTTATAAGGTTTTCTCTTTCTTTGGCCTCCTTTTCATTTTTATTTTTTTACTTTTTACTTTTTTTATGACTAAAAAAATAGTTGGAATTATTTGTGTTTTAATTATTTTAAAATTGCTTGAACTAATATATATATATACCATAGTTAACACAATCTTAAAATTGATTAAATTTTCAAATCTTGCTGTTGAAAACGACAGAATAACTGACATGCAGTTCTGTAAAAAATTAAAAGAAGAAAGTAGATTTCTCAATTAAATCCTCTTTTTCTCTTTTTTTTTTGCTATGTTTTTCCATGTTTCTACTTCTCTTCTGCCTTCTAGTTCGAGGTATTCTTCTTCCTCTTTATTGTCATTCTTGATTTTGCTCTTCTTCTGATTGTTTTTGTGAAAAGATGGCGGCTTGAGAAATTGTGGTGGAAATGATGTAGAGAGATGATCTAGTTAAGCCTTTTTATGCATTTTGACCTACACAGAATATATGGGACGAAGAAAAGGGGATACACGCATGTACTATACATGAATATCTTTTATTGAAGGAATGGGGGAGGGGGAATTGATAGTGATAGATACTTTAGGTGAAAAAAATCAGAAAGAGATATTTTTAAGTGAGAGAGAATCTCAAGGGAGAGATTTTAGGATATGAAAAGTTGTACATAATTTAATTAAAAATGTAAGATTTTAAAGTAAATTGTACTAAAAGTAATTTTATAAAAGCAGTTGTAGAAAATATAAATAAGTCTTTAAAATATTGTATTCTATGTAAATTCCTCATCATAAATTTACCAAAACTAGTCAAGCACATACAAAAATAAAAATTCAAATAAATAAGGGTTCTTTCTCTCCAAGAATCACACGCAAAGATCTCCTTCTATATTTTTAAGCATGATCATCAACATTAGNAAATTCTAATAATCTAAGCAAAAGGGGACCTTTTTCAATGGGTATGATTAAAAATTATTGAAAATATATAGATGAGTCAGTATACAAATTTGAGAAAGATTGCAGGAGATTTAGACTGATTTGGTATCAAAATTCGAGTTTAATTTTTTTTTTGTGACATGTATCGCGCATGTATGTCATACACAGGTATACATGGATAGATATGTGATACGCATTTGATACAGATATGATACATATGTGATACACAAATGATATACAATGTGATACACATATTATCTTTTTCATGTTCATCTTCTACTTCGAATTTTCCATTCAAACCACCTCAAACTTTACCAAATCATCCCAAATCTGAGATTTAAACTACTTAAAATGTCCAATCTATTCTAACAATACTACTCAAAAGAAAGCGTAAAAATTGACTTTTTTTTTGCTATAAATGGATGATTGAGTAATATTGGTAATATTTTATGAATTGACTAATTTTTATACTAACTTACTGTTACACCCTATATTTTCGTACGTAAAAGTGCGTCATAAGCAAACTAATGTAGGACCAAAAATGAGACCATCTTTGAAAGTATATAAAGTAAGTTAATCATGTTACCTCGGAGGTTACAAATATTGAAGATCATGAACAACAAGTACAAAGAGGGTTGGAAGGTTCATAAGCTAAAGGAATTGAAGAAAATAATATTTCGTCGAAAGTCGACAAGTTGGGAATGTTATAACATATACCTTTGGGGTGAGACTAGGGTGCTTAACATGATAAGGAGGTTATGTTATGAGTTATGTTAGTTGTATGATAGTCGTGTATTATGTTTTGAAG